ACCACCTAACATTGCAGATCTGAAGAACTTGGAAGTGCTTAACTTTTTCAACAACCAGATTGAGGAACTGCCCACGCAGATTAGCAGCCTTCAGAAGCTCAAACACCTGAACCTTGGGTAAGTAGCAGTAAAGCAAAAATGGGAGAAAAATCTGTTATTGGTTAACAGTAATTGAATCTTGACGTTAAAACATGTATTTTATTTTTTGTAAATAAGAATTTAATGGCATTGGTAATAGCTCTGAAATTATGGTTTCATCGTAGTTGAACCAAAAATTAAGTGTCTTTACATGGGTTTTCTGTTTGTTTAATTTGAGGAAGACACACTTATGTATAGTTTTTCACATTACTTTGATGTTTAGCCCCTCTCAGCAATCCACAGAGATCCACTTATTATATTCAGATTTAAATCTGTTGCATACTATTACATGCATGTGCAAAATTATTCCCTTCATTGCTTGCCTTGATTAAATCTGAATTCTGTGGACAATATATGATAAAAGATCCAGGATCTACTGCATGCTTTACTTTTTTAATATGGATGAATTGTCTTCTGGGAGATTGTTTTATTTAGGATTTCTAGTATTGATAGAAACTAGTATAATTGTGGCTCAAATAGATGCATCTTAAAGCTTAATTCAGCAAGATATGTTGAAAACCTAGAGGCATACGCATTAATGGAATGGAAGCATCCTTTAGTACTCACCCTCTTTAACAGTTCTCAGAAATATTTCCATTTACTACAGTTGGTTGTCTCTTTCTCTGTTTAACTACTATCACTGCTACAGTTTTTTAATGGAGTTCCTGCAAGAAATATGCTTATAAAACAAGACCTACAATAGGAGGATGAAGCTTTTTCTGAAGCTATATTTAGTTGTATTTAGTATATATCCCTATGTTGTGGGAGCAATTTTATATTATTTTACAACTTTTTCCCCTGTGTAACTGAGTGTTTACATTATAAACTAATATCTATAAACTGCTTGCGTCAGAGGGAAAAGACAGGAATGCTCAGTTATTCTCTCCCTTATAGCTGGAATTGATGCTGCAGATATCGATCCAGTGAGTGTTGATTTAGTGGGCCAAGTGAAGACCCGTTAAATCAAATGTTGATCACTTGGACATTGATTCCAGTAGTCTTCTGGAATGGGAGTAAGGGAGAAATTCTCCCGTTGAGCCAACATGGTATAGACCCTGCAGTAAGTAGATCTAAACCAGATCAGCTTGAATTGTGCTACTAACAGAACTCAAATTGTGTAGTTTAAATCAAGTTGAACCCATAGCGTAGACCTACCCAATAGGGGCTAGCTAGCAATGCTCCATAGTCTGAATTAGGTAACAGTGTAAGACATTGATAATTGAACTTCATTGTTGGCTGCAGTGATATACATATTTTCTTGATATTCTGTCTCTTCAATAAAGATGGTTTTGGTACTTTATTTTTTCTCTCTGGTTATCTAGCACAGTGAAATAGGCTTTGATTCTTGGTATCTTCTACTGGCTTGGATTTAACAGTGAGGCTGGTAATTAACATGTTTGCCTGGGAAAGTAACACGTCAGCATTCCACACACTCCCTTTGACTAGGGATTCAACTCAAGATGCAATGCTGAATCATTAGTAGAGGAAATAGTTGAATGCTTTCTAAATATTATGAAACAAATGGCAAGTTGATTGTGCTTAGTCGTAACTAGTATCCTACTATCCTGCGTTAGTGTTTTAGGGATAGGAGCAAACAGATGTGAAAACAACATTCTTGCTTGGGAGTATCATTAGTCTTGCAGGTGGTAAACCAAAGGTTGTCTTCTATGTTAAATTTGTAGTGTAACATTCTACTTCTAGAATTTGCCCTTTGAGAGACTACAGCCATGTTCTCTAGGTGCCTCACATTTTACATATTGCAGTATAACTTCATCTTAAAACTGGCAAATTCCCTCATGGTCCATTTCTCATTAAAGCCACTGGAAAAGTTTTGCTCGTAGGAGTTGGATCTGGCCCTTAGTGACTGCTGCTGAGAGAACCAGAGAGAGAAATAACGGGAAAAGAAGACAACCCCACCTTTGCAATGTGATTTATCCCCTTATAGATACAAAAAAAGTGTAACAGCCTGCAGGGCAGCTGAACAGTTCAAACACTACCTCTCTCCAGCAAATAATCAGATCGCTTTGGGTAAAGTACTCCCACTCCCAGGTCAACTTCAATTCTTTTGAGGCCTTCTGTATGCTTTCCTTATTTGCCTTTCTCTGAGTGGTTTAAAAATATAATCAGAATCCAATGATAGAATGCGCTGCTGGTCTCTGTGTTGCTAAGCAGCACACTTCCTTTTCCCTCTTCATTTTTTGCTTTTTCTTAAGGATGACCAAGGTTTTGTCTTGGCTACCTTCAGAACTTGGTCATGTCAAGTCAACTGTGATTGCAGGCCATGCACAATCAAAAATGTTGATTGCTGCTCAGGTAAATCCCAGTGCCAGCCACTTGGGCTACTCCTTTGGAGGCAGGGGAGGGGAGTTCTGGGGCCATCCCTCTGGGTCCACCATAGGGCCAGCTGCTCGGATGGCCCTAGGGTCAGTGTTAATGTCTGCTGCAGATGTAATGGAGGTCACAGGAAGTCCAGCAGTCCATGACTTCCACAACAGATACAGATCCCTACTTAGAGTACATTACTGTCCCTGTTGCAAAGATCTTAGGTGAGGTAAACAAGACAAAGGGTGACAGAGAAGCTGTTCTAATCTCATTTCATAGATGGTGAATGATGCACAGTGAGATCAAGGCCTTGATTCTGCAGAGAGTTCTGCTGGAGCGTAACTTTGAGCACTTGCATAGTATTAATAGGTTGGTCTGCGCATGTGTTTAAGCATGGAAATCTTTCTAGAATGGGGAGTATAAATGATTTGCCCGAGATTATATAGGAATTCTAGTGCTGCTATAGCACCAGATCTCAACCATAGTGTGAGAATCTAATACTGAAATAAAGAGAACTGTAAACTATGTTTTAAAAGACTATCTTGCTGCTGCTGCCAGCTAATCATGTGTACTAGATTCATAGCTGCCTGAGTCCTTGAATAGCATTCCAAATGGGGCCTGCTGTTACACAAATATGCTGTTACCCTTCCCCCACTGCTTTATTCAAGGATATAAAACAGTCCGATCAGTTCATACATGCATCAGACACAGATGTGTAAATACCTTGGGCATAGGGCTGCTTGCTTATCTGTGTGCACATAATACAGCTGTGCAACTAGATGCCAACAGAAAGGAGAAGGCTTCTCAAAGAGAGGGAAGTACAAACAGCTCTGTAACATTGACTGGTGCTGCTTCTAGGCTGCATGTTGTGTATTCCCACATACCAATTACAAGCCTAATAGACTTGCTTCTGTTCTCTGGGCCCTTAATCATGGACTGAAGTAATCTTTAGAAAAAAGCTAATATATGCTTTGCATTTTTATCAGTCAGGCTTGTCAGTGGAGTGGGGGGCAAAAGAAGCTACTGCCCTGGGGCCCATGACTCCCAGCGGCTCTTGTAGCCTTGGACCCTTCATATTGCCATCGGAGCCCCACACGCTTTGCGCCGCTTTGAGGGTTGGGGAATGGGCACGCCGTGCTCTGTGGGGCAGGGCACGCCGTGCTCTGTGGGGCAGGGCACGCCGTGCTCTGGGGAGCATAGAGGGCTTTCTGCCCTGGCCTAGCCCCATCCCTTCTAGGACCACAGTGTTGGGGCCCCTCATCTTGCCCAGGTGCCCACAGAGGCAGTCTGCTACCCTGCGAACAATTGCTGGCAGTTTTTCAGCTATCAACTTATCTACTTAACTGAAGTGTCTAAGGGGGAAAAAATCATTTTTTGAAGAACTTAGATGTTGATGAAGGGGGAAGAGAGTCTTGACGCAAGTTTAGCTGCGACTTCTTCTAGGTAACAGCCAGCATTGGCTTGTAAAGAATAAATCTTGTCAAACCAATCTGATAGCTTTTTCTGATAGGATAACAAGCCTTTTGGATAAGGCAGAAGTGGTGGACGTGGTATACTTAGACTTTAGTAAGGCATTTGACAAGGTCTTGCCTGAACTTCTTATCAATAAACTAGGGAAATACAACCTAGATGGGGCTACTGTAAGGTGGGTGCGTAACTGGCTGGATAACTGTTTTCAGAAAGTAGTTAGAAAGTGTAGTTCAGAAAGTGGGGTTCCACAGGGGGTCTGTTTTGGGGCTGGTTCTGTTACATATCTTTGATTTAAGTCAGTGGTTCCCAAAGTTTTCAGCATCACGCCCCCTTTTTGATTTTTGAGAAACCCTCACGCCCTCCTCTCCCCCCCTCCAGCAAAACTTAAGTTTAAAAAAAAAAAAAAAAAAGGGAACTTGACTGGGGCTGAAACAAAAATAGCAGCAAAACTTGGGGGGTGGAGAGAGGGCTGGGATGCCTCGCGTTCCCCCTGGAATTTCTTTGTGCCAGTTTGAGAACCCATGATTTAGATGATGCATATAGAGTATTCTTGTTGAGTTGACAGAGGATGCCAAGCTGGGAGGGGTTGCAAGTGCTTTGGAGGATAGGGTCATAATTCAAAATGATCTGGACAAACTAGAGAAATGTTCTGAGGTAAACATGATGAAGTTTAATAAGGACAAATGCAAAGTACTCCACTTACCCAGAAAGAATAAGTTTCACACATACAGAATGGGAAGCAGCTGTCTAGGAAGGAATACTGCTGAAAGGGATTTAGGGGTCATAGTGGACAAGAAGTTAAACATGAACCAACAGTGTGATGCTGTTGCAAAAAAGCAAACCTGATTCTGGGATGCATTAATGAGAGTGTTGTGAGCAAGACCGGAAAAGTCATTCTTCTGCTCTACTCTGTGCTGATCAGGCCTCAGAGCAACAAAACTGATTAAAGGACTAGAAAGCATGAGCTATGAGGGAAGACAGAAAGAAATGAGCTTTTTTTAGTTTTGAAGAGAGAAGACTGAGAGGGGACATGATAGCTGTTTTGAAGTATCTGAAAGGGTGTTATAAAAAGGAGGGAGAAAAATTGTTCTCCTTGGTATCTGAGGATAGGACAAGAAGCAATGGATTTAAGTTGCAACAAGGGAGGTTTAGATTGGACTAGGGATGTTAAAGACTAGTCGATTATC